TTAACTAAAAAATTATTATAAATTTTAAGAGTTGATAAAATATAATATAAAATTTAAACTATAATATGAAAAGTTAAAGTATAGCTCGTGCATTGCACGAGTAAAAAAGAAAGTTTAATTATAATAATTTAACACTTTTGATAAAATATTGTGTGAAAAAATAACCTCAAACACAATCTAAATTCCCTGTTAGCGTTTCCCTTGCATAATAAAAAATTTTTTGTTGATAAAAAAAAAAAAGAAAAAAAAAAGAAGAAAAGATATCCCATACCCATTGATCGTCCACCTACTTTGTTGAATTTTAAGGAATTGATTTTCAATCCTAGAGAAGGATGGATGATGATGTGAATAGTAAAGTTTTTTTTATGTTTTATTCAAAAAACAATTTTTTTTTTGGTTGGCGTACAGTAAAGTCAAGGAAATCATCTAAGTCTCTTTGAAGAGCAAGTGCCATCCTTTCCCATTACTGTATTTTGTGAATTATCAACATTCCTTCCCCAGTTCAATCACTGCATATATACATACATGGAATAAAAAATTTTGGTTACCCTTTTTTTTTTTATATTAAATGATAAGTTATATAATATAAAATAATTTTTTTTTCAAATTTTTTCTTATGTAACTCAAAATTTAAATCCTTAATTATTGGATTATTTTTTAAGGAACACCCATGTTAGTTAAGTTTGTCAGCAGGTAATCAGTTAGCATTGTAGAAGGAATGGGCTAAGGCGCTCTATGTCTCTTATGCGATACGTTTGACACATTGAATAATGTATATAAAGAAAAAGAGATCAGAACTGGGGATGAAAAGAGAAAATAGGAACGTTGATCTTAAAATCAATGATTTATTTCAATAACTTTCAATGAAAGTGATAGGCAGATCAAATCAAGAGTTCAGTGGAGTTTCTAGAAGTTGAAAATATCATGTACAAGATTTAACACTCATACATGTTTTTTTTTTTTTTTTTTAATAATATATTTATTAAAAAATTACATATTATTTTTTAAAATTAAAAATAAAAAACATTTAAAAATATAAATATTAATAATTAAATTATAAATATTAGCGAATGAATTAAACTAAAAAATTTAACAATCACTTTTCAAAATGTAAACATCTTGATGAACTCCGAGAAAAAGAATGACAAAGGTCGGTGGAAAAACAGGGGAACATAAATATTGGAGACACGGAGCGATTTTCCCACAACCATTCGGAAACATTAATAAATGTTCCTACTGATTGTGCAGGGCGATTTTCCTAGTTGAGAACAAAAATCGATAACTGTATGAGTTTGTTTAAAAGTGAAAATCAAAGTTTATCTTTTAAAATTATTAATAATTTTAATCTTAATTTAGTATTATATAAATTTTAACAATAAAAAATAAAAAAACTGACAACAGCAATGATTAATGAATAAATTCATTTATTAATAATAAAAACTTGCAAGATTATAACAAAATAATTAGACATAAATAATTTTCCTTCCTTTCAAAAAATTAGACATAAATAACATCTTATTTATAACATCTATATTTCATAATAAAATAATCCCTAAAAAGCCTTTAATAATTTTTCCATATCTTTATTTCGTACCAGAAACATAATCCCTAAAAGTCATTAATAATTTTTCCTCGACTAAAAAAAATCAATATTTAGTCCAAGTGCAACACTTGATTTAAAAGATGCATTTAATATATTTTAGACTTTTTTTTGGTACAAATGGCAATGATAAAATTATTGAAAATTATCTAATGACATAAGACCAACATTTTATAACTTTCTTTATATAAAGTATTAGTAAGTTACATTTTTATTTTTAAGTGATGAAGAATTAGATATTTACTTATATAAAATATTAGTAAGTTTTACTTTTTATTTTTAAATAATATAAGATTTTCTCATTCTATAATTTCACTTATATACCAATAGGAGAATAATAGATTTATCAAATGAAAACAAAAAAATATTAGCTCACCAAATTATATGCAATCATCAATTCTAAATTACGGTCAATTAAAAGTAAAAAATGGGAATAAGGCAATCCACTTCACTGACTTTGCAAGCAGCTACAATTTTCTTTGTAGTTGAATTCTTCACTACAATATGTCCTTGACCAAAAATTGGGACAAAATATTACAGAACCAATTTTCAATCTTCCTCCACCAGTCCACCATCTACATGGAAAAAAATGGGTTATATGTGGTTCGTCTTTGAGGCTGGTAGCATACAGATATACTACCTGCTATTTTGAGTCGGACCATTCAATCTTCGATCTCATGCTTTCTTTATCTTTCGTTGGGTTAGTTGCCATGATAAGGAGGGTAAAATCTTTGGTTTGGCACAAGGAATGTTTAAATATTTCATGAATATAATTAGAATATATGATGGAGTTAGGAGTTTTGATTAGTTATGGTTTTTGTAATATTGGAGAAATAAAAAATTATTTGAGAATGAAAATGTAGGTGGGGCACTTTTTTTGAATTAATTACTTGAAAATTTATATTTTAATCAAATTTATTTCACTAATTTATGATAATTATTACTATTACAAATTTATTTATTTAATTCTTAAATTCAATTGTAGACTAATTATAGCAAAAAAATTTGTTACTTTTCTTTTTGACAAATCCTATTTACCATTACAAAATGTATTGTAACAAATGAAAAAATTTTAACCATAACTAAAATTGGGTATTTATAACAAAAATTAATTATTTATGACTAATATCTTATCAATAACTAATAATTATCTTATTGTGATGATTTTAATTATCACAAATTTATGTGATTTATTGTGACGAATCTTTTGTAATTGAATGTAAATTTTATGTCAAAATTATATATTTTAATTTTGAAAATCAATATTAGAAATCATATAACTTGAATTAGTTACAAATATAAAAAATATTAATAATAAACTGAGAATCAAGCACAAAAAATCCCATTTTCTTGTAGTGTGAAAATAGATAAAGCTAGTTCTTTTTTCTTCTTTTTTTTTCGGTGCAAGAAAAAGCTAGTTCTTGAAAATAGAAAAAGTGCTAGTTCATCAACCTTTACACAATGTATGATGCAGCATGCGCCCCTTTACAGCTTGGGAGGCACTCAACACAATTATATGAATATGATGGATCTAACGTTAGTGCTTATTTTGGTCGTACAGCAAGAAACGTGGATTAGAATCATGCGGCGCCGTGTCTAGCTCATGACCATTTGCCTGCAGTGTTTTTACACATT